AAGAAAAACTGAGGTGAAAGTTCCTTATAATGGATAGCACAATAGCAGCAATGCTTGCAGCTGAAGCAGGAAAGCAGGCCATATCAGTGTAGAAAATGAACAGCTGATGGAAACACAGATACAAACTTCAAAAGAGATAAAAATAAGCCACAAAAGTTGATTTACATTTAAGAAGAGGAGTGAGACAAAAAGAGATCTAGGGTAAAAAAATTAAGACTTGAAAAAACATATACTAATTTAAAAGAGTACATTGGTATGGTGTCTATGCTGTCTGTCTGGTGTGGAATTTCTTTTTCACTAGTGCATATCAAAAACCAACTCCTACTGTATTGCAGTAATAGAAGCCAATGAATTTAAAAATAAAGTAAGATGATCACGTTAGTATCCATGTATCAATCACATAAAGTAGCCAAAGAGAACAAGGGTGGGGTCAAAGTCCCTAATCTCATTTTCATACAAGCACTCAGAGGCACCCAGCTCAGCGCAAAGAAGAGTTCCTGTTAAAGGTCACAGCAGTCACATACAAATGACAAATCCCATTTCTCTGATTTAACTGCAGCTATAACAAGTTGTCAGGATTTCCTCTTTGAATTTTCTGTCTCTCCCTTATCCCAGAAAAGCAATATGCTACCTGAAGCATCATCAGTTTATATGCACAGTTCCTCCTTTCCTTGACATTTGAAAGAAAAAATGGTATCATTAAAGGAGTTCCCTCCACCTACAACATCTAAGGAGAAAAAAGGCTAGAGAGAAAGAGGAATTTCTGGATCTCTGAAGTTTTATTGATATATTGATCACAAGTTCATACTAAAAATCACCCTCTGCCTCTCCTCCTTCTGCCCTCAGCCTCTGCACACAGGAGACCTTAAGTTGTGCATACTCATAGAGAGAGATCTGCATGCTGTAAAATAATGTATTTTACCACACAAGTGTGCAGGGAAATAAGGAGATAAATGCCCTGTTCAGGGTTTGCATTACTACATACCACGGAGATGGCTCCTGAGCACCAGTGCATCAGAACAGCCTAGGGATGGAAGGGCTGCCAGGCCGAGGAAACAGCTTGTTGCCTCTGTGGGGGACTCTTAAAAAGTTTTACTGGTCTTCTAGGGATTGACTAATGCCTTCTCTTCCCTTGGCTTCATAAAGATTTCTAGAGCATATCTGAGATTTGACCCTGAATATAATGATGCTATTCTTGCTGTGCAATTAGCGTCGGTGGTGTCAGGCGCATAGAGGCAAATCTGCTCTTTGTCAGAGAGCTCCACGTCAAAGTGAGTTTGTAAAACACGCTGCAAAAAGGATGAAATGCTGCTTACAATGCAAAGCCCACTGAAATCTCCATAATGCTGCAATATTTATTATCAGCCAGAGCATATGATCTGAGATTAATAAATTGTTCTTAGTCCATATTTCCCAAGGCATAGCAACTGCCATAAAGCAGCACTGTCACATGAAGAAATTTCACCAAAGTACCCTGTCTGAAATAATGACTTTCTTTATCTATAACTTTACATTGTTGATTGGGTTTGTTGAACTGAAGGAGGACTATGAAGTCATTCCAAAAGAACTACTGAGAGACAAGTCTTGAAGCTCAGTCAATATAAAGCTAGCAGTAAGAACGCAATTTCCCTGAGAAAAAATAGTCATACTTGGTTATTTTACAAATATGCAAGCAAATTACATTCTGATTGTGTAAATAAGAACTAATGCCAAACATGTGGCTCTCAGTGTTTCATTGTCACAATTTTTACTGCTAAGAATTTTGTTCTTGCAAGACTACAGTAGACCTGAAACAAAGCAGCAACACAGGTGGATGCCTTCCAGGTTTAGAGGACATGAAAAGCAAAGCTTTCCTGCAGGCGTTCCAAACTGACCTGTGACCCAGCCACATAAGCATAATTTCCAAGACAAAAAGCTTAAAAATGGCTGTATTAAAACAGCAGTTTCTCCCCAAAAACTGACTAGCTGATTTCCTTCAGCTTGTGGTTACAACCTTGGCTAACTCCACCTAGCAGACTTAGATTCAAGACAAAAAGCTGGAGCATTCAGTATGATCCTGTCACTACCAGCTTCTGGCATGCTGACTCCTCAGTCAGGCACTGTGGATTGCTGTACCCTCACCTCACACTAGAGATCTGCAGTGCTGACGTGTGTCCCAGGCAGCTGTCTGCACTGCCTGCGGTCAATGGAGAGGAACGGGCGCTCACAGGATGGACTCTCTCTCTTTCTCTCTCTCCCTAATTTAGACAGCTAGAATAGGTCAAAAGAATTACTGTCTGAACACACCAACTGCTCTCCATCCCATATGCAGGGAGGTGAGATAACCAGCTTGGATGCAGATACCTGTGTAGGCAACAAGAATCCTGGATGCACAGGGAAAGCCAGGAGGCGAGGAAAGGCAAGGCACCAAGGCAATCCCCACAGCCCCACACATGGTGTGAGGGGCTGCACAGGATCAACACAAAGCAAATGCCCACCACAGGATAGTAAAATCCCTACAGGATTTGAAATCCCTTACTTCTCTTGGAGAATAGGTGGCAATAGGCAAATATATATACATACATATATATATATTTATAATCCTTATGCAGAATAACTTAATATATGTCCGAAAACCAACCAGGAAAAGGTCAACTGTTGTCTTGCACCAGCTACTAGCATCTACAAACTAGGTTTGGTATTGTGTCTAACAAAGCCAAGCTCACACAACAGTAACTGGTAGTGAAGGAAAGGATGCTGCCACACCTTGGGAAGTGCCATGCTGTACCTCCCAGTCAGTACACGCAAGAAAGTATTTTTTGTTGTTAACTGTGTAACTATTCACAATAGCTTACAGGCTCACTTAGAGAAGAACACACTCTGTGGGACAGTCTTCTATACTCGAGGCCAGCCTGCCTCACTTGGGCACTTGGCCTGGACCTATATTTTACTAACTACTGAAGTAGTCTTACTATGCACATCCCTGTGCTGCCTGGTTATTCAGCAGAACAGTAGGTGCCTTTCCATGTCCTCAGAGGAAATTCCCATCTGCTAAGTTTAGATACTGAAATTGAGTACACAGGATCTCCCTTTGGAAGGCTTCAAAGGCACTTTCCTCTCTGAAACAAAGGTATGTAGAATGTGAGCTTCTTTTTCAGTGGACTCTTTTGCTAAACATCTAACATTAAGGTACGTATTAGATGCCTAAAATCAGAATAGAGCCTGCCTGTAGGGCACAATATTGCAGACCAAGAAAGAAATGGATTGAGTGAAGTCGGTGTAATGCACCATCATTCCTTTTCAGCTCAGCAGCTGTGTGTGGTGTCTGTGATTGAGAATCAAGTGAAGACGATAAATTGCAGATCACAGTCAAATCAGATTTTCCTAATGGGGCTTTTGAAATAAACTAACAGATTACTGTTTAAATAAAACCTGTAACAAGGATGAGTTGATGTTATATTATTAAATTTCTTAATTTAATTCTGAAGCTCCAGAGCCAGCCAAGTAATATTCAACGCATTACCTTCACAAACTGTGGAATGCATTGTAGAAAAGCTAAAAAAGCTTTTCATGGTTTGACCAATTCTCTAAGTGTTCAAGCAATATCCATCACAGAGAACAGTATCTGCCTGCCAGTAATATATCAAAATTATTTGCTAGTGCTCCATGCTTCCTTTTTTCATTAATTAGAAAGAACCACTTAGTGCAAAATCATGCTGGGTTGTTTTATTTTTCTGGCTTATTATGTGTGCTGTAATCTGAGAACAAAATACTCAGCACTTCAGGGCCTAGTGTCACAACTAGCGAATTCAAAGTACATAAGGGACCTGTCTCTCAAGCAATAATGTCACTGGCAAAGAAACCTTCCCTTCTTTTGTAACGGTCAGAAGGGGAGCCTGCTAATCACGAGGGCCAACACCTTGCTTTTCCTTGCCCATAAAAACATCTCTCCCTGCTTAAGGATAATATAGGTTTGAGGTTCACAGTTACTGTGCCTGGCTAAAAGATCAATTAGTACATGTCTGGTGAAAATGCAAAAAAAAAAGGCAGTTCCTCCTCAAATATGGTTTAGGAATATCAGCGTTTTTGGCTACTGATGTCCAGGAAAACAAAGAAAAAAGTTTTTAGATACTGTGTAAAGACATTTAAAATGTGTCCATAACAATTTATAAAATAACAATGTCTAATGGCCTTTATTATATGCATTTTTCTTTAATAATGTCCAGAATACCCATATTTTGAACCTCTTAGATAAAGTAATGGGTTTTGTGGGTCTAGCACAGGCTTCAGTGCCTGGAGGCTCTAGTTCTATTTCCAGCTCTGTTTCAGACGTACAGGGTGACCTTTATGCATAACCTCATTTTCCTCACCTATAAAATGGGGATATTAATACTTATTTACCTCACAGTTGGTTCCCTTCCAGCTGCTACAGTGACTGAACAAGCTCATATATCTACAGAATTGCTAATGTTCATGATAAACTGTTTCTTTTTTTTCAAACAAGCAATGCAGACACTAAATGGAGAACTTATTTGTTCGTCCAGTCAGTAAAGTACACAGAAAAATAACGGCAATGGAAAAACCATTCAAAGCCACTCACTAATTTTCTTCCAAAAACAATGTCCTTCAGGAGAAATGTAGCTATTTCCTGTCTTATAGCAACTAGAATCAACTTCCTGATGCTGCTTTTAGTCAAGAAAAAAATTTCACAGTTTTTAAGTGGAAATCTAACCTGATCTCCCTTTGGAGAGGATATAAAACCACTGTAAGCTTTGCAAGTAAATAAAGGGGAAGAAACAATTTCAATTTCAAACTCAACTTAATAATGAGGGCAGAGAGAAAGAAAGGAGAAGACAATGAGAGATACAGTCATCTCTTCCTGAAGGGAACAAAGCTACACGGAAGAGATGCTGGCAGGTATGCAGCCCGCAGCCGAGAGGACACCCCTGTGGCACCGGTGCCTCCATCAGCCTGGGAACACCTCAGCAACATTCATCTTGCTCTGGGAATGTGATACTTACTCTTGTACTGCTCTGGCTATGGAGAGCGCAGTAGATCCAGTTTCATTAACGCTATCTAAGGTCACATTTGGCAGGTCGTCATCATCACTGTCACTTTTAATTTGTCTGGGAGATAGGCCTCGGGGGTCCATTTGTGCTGGAAAGAGACATATAATGGATTAATATGAGCCTGCTGAAATTAATCTTGTCCCAGAACAACATCAGGGTGCACAGCACATCTGCCTGCTCTGGCCAGGTAGCACTGCTTGTGCTGAGCCTCCCAAATCAGGTGACAGGTGGGCAAAGTCATCCAGTGGTGCCATAGCTGGGTGCAAGCACTACCAGCACATACAGGTGTGTGAATTCACAGAGGCTATGCCAGTGTACTTGGCAGTACTGAAATACAAGTGTACATGCAACATCCAACAAAAACGCAGGTCACCCTCAAGTTACTTACTCTGCCTGTCTTCAGAAAGTGAAGGGAAAGGGCTACATCTGCTTTGTGCAACACAGAACACTCAACAACACATTTTACAGCAAAATTCCAGGAGCAATCTCTGATTTCAAGCGTTCATCATGAGGTACCAGGATGGAACCCATGTCACTCCATCCAACTAAAATTTAGGTATCTAAAACTCCAGCTGTCCTGATTTCTCATACATTGATGTCAGCTCAACACTGATGTCAGCCTCTGAAGGATCCTTCGTTCTACATTACATACGTAACTTCACACAGGCAAATAACTTTCAAGTGATTGATATCAGGGGGCCCAGTCAAATTTTTTTGAAAAGTCCCGTAATCTCAAGTCTTACAAATATCTGAATATCAGGAGTTGCAAGACTGTTTTATACATCCACAGCTTACAGTATCCATACTGTATGGCAATGGAGTAAGTGCCCAGGTGCTGGCAATGGCAGCTGCGGGGGCCTCTGTGCAGAGCGGCTGGGGCTGGACACAGCCAGTTTGAGCCGCTCCAACAACCCAACTCAGCAGGACATGGCTGAGCCCTGCAGCTGTGGTGAGGGTGTCTCGGGGAAAACAGGATTAAGAACAGGCTGCCCAGGGAAGTTGTGGAGTCTCCCTCTCTGGAGACGTTCAAAACCCACTTGGATGTGTTCCTGTGTAACCTGCTCTAGGTGACCCTGCCCTGGCAAGGGGGTTGGACTAGATGATCTCCAGAGTTCCCTTCCAACCCTAACAATTCTGTGATTCTATGAAACAGTTCTGCAGGCACCAACATGAGAAGAGATTGAGGGGAGGAGGTTCTTCACAGTGGGGCAGAGGTTCTCCTGCAGCCCCTAGAAAAGACCACTGTGGACCAGGCTGTCCTGATGGGAACTGCTATTAATAGGGAACCCACATGGGAGTAAGGCAACAGTGTGAGGAGGAAGAGCAGCAGAGAGGAACCATTATGTACTAACCACAGTCCTCAGTCCCCATTCCCTGTCCCCCTGGGATGGGGGAGGGAGAAGAGCTGGGAATCAAGGAGTAAAGTTTATACCTGGAAAAGAGGGTTGGGAATGGTGGTTTTCACCAACCTAATCTACTTTTAATTAGCAATAAATTATTTTTCCCACATTGAGTACTCTTTGCCTGTGATGGTAATTGGTAAGTGATCTCCTTGTCTTTATCTTGACCCTCGAGCTCTTCCACTTTATCTTTCCCACTGTTATGATGAGGGGGAGTGTGAGAGCGGCTGGGTGTGTGCCTGGCACACAGCCAAAACCAACCCACCAGAGTTAGGTTTTGTGCCAAAGAGACAGGAAACAAAAGGAGAGTAGAAAGGCAGGTGACTTGCCTTCCCTCTTATGCTGATTGCTGCCCTTCAAAGGGAAGAAAGAACAATCCACATATGGGGAGGGGGAGGAAATGAAGAGACAGGCATGGGGGGAATATATGGGGCACAAGTGTGACTTGGGATAGTGCTGAGAGGAACTGGGGGGGTTGCTTGTGCCAAGGGACAAACCCAGAGACAAACTTCAGAAGTGATGTAGAGAAAAAGACATTCCTTCTTACTCATGAAATACCACACAGGATTAGTAAATCCTGAGAGACACTGAAGGCAGCCTGAGTACAGAGCAAAACTGGAGAGATGCCTGACCCCGCAAGGGAGGCGTAGGAAGGGGAAAGACATGCGGAGATTTGTGTAAAAATGTGTTTATTTTGTTTGGTTGGATGAAATAAAGGAATTGACAGTTATTTATTTAAAAAGCTAACTGCTGCAGTTTGTTAGCTTGTGCTCTCCTGTACTGCAGTGTCAGAGACAGGACACTTTCTGGGTCTTGCAACACGATTTTTGAGAAAGGTATTCATTCCTACTCAATTCTGTTTAGCCACAGACCTGGACAACAGGTATCACAGGCTTCCTTTAGAGATCATGAACAGTTCAGTAGGCCCAGTTCACCTAGGGAGCAGCCCCAAAAGTCAAAGTTCCCATTTTGCCATCTTTCTTATGTTACAGTGTTCCCTGACTCTAGAAAAAGGACTGAGTTAACAATGAAAAATGGGAGGGCTGTAGATACTTCAGGAGCTGTGCAGCCATAGAGTGGCACTGATGGATTGTTGGGCTCTTGAAAAGAAACTGCCCCACAAATGAGTGATGAATCGAGGGAAAGCTGGTCTTAAATTTTAATTCATGTCTTAGCTGTGAACCACCTCTGAGTAAAAAAATAGTGAGTGATTACAAACTACCCTTCAGCTGTTTTTCTTTTTTATGTTAAAGAACTTCATAAAGAAAATACAGTGAAAATATGTTCAGTAAGCTGATGAACAACCCCGCCTGGAATCACAGTGCATTTCCAGTTGCACAGTACTACTTCTATTAGCTTTCTCCTAGCACAGTTTATGTGTCTCAGTAATGTTGGTTATGTTTGGACTGTTTATTATTTCTTTCATGTATGGTAAATTAAACACCTTTTGCTTATCAAAGCAAAGACTATTGACAATGAATAGTGACCTATGAGACAAACACAAAGCAACTTAGAAATTGTTCAAAACGTTTAATAATTTTAGGCAGAAAGAGCACCATTCTGACTGTGCTTTTTAAAATCACGACTTACACATGTGTACCTGAGCATTAGGGATAATCTAGCATTCGATTTAAGAGCAACTGAACCATCTAGTCAGCTGATTTAGTTCCAGAAAACTGGAAAGAAGTGTTACTTCTGCCTTGTTCCCTAATGTTCCTTCTTAAAAGCATGAGGTTATTATTATGCGTTTCATTAATACTTCATTTTTTTCACAGAATCATAAGGCGGCTTGGGTTTGAAGGGACCTTCAAGATCATGTAGTTCCAACTGCACTGTCGTGGGGAGAGACACCTTCCACTAGGCCAAGTTGCTCAAGACCCTACCCAATTTGGCCATGAACACTTCCAGACATGGGGCATCCACAACTTCTCTGGGTAACCTGTTCCAGTGCCTCACTATCCTCTGAGTAAAGCTTTTTTTCTTTGAAGTGAACCTCATTACAAAAAGTTATGTTTGTATCTGCCCAATATTTAAATGTGCTACAGGTGACAGATTTGTGAAAGCTAATTGTTTGTCAACAAAATGAAAAATTTTAACAAAAAACTATGTATGTTAACTGTGGTTTAATCTGACTTGCACTACAGTAGAAGTTTTAAGTAGCTAGCTCAGAAACTAAGCCTAACTTGAAATGAAGAAAGTTGTTACATAATTTAGTCTGTAATACAGTTATTATACACCAATTCTGATCATGTAAGCATGAATACACCTACATAAAAACAGATGGTATAAATGCATAGGAAAAATCTTACATACTTTTGTTCCTCATAAGACATGTTATCTCATTATTACTGTAGATTACTGGCTCTTAAAATATTATTGAGACTCCTATGACATTTGGTATCAGTTTTAGATTACTAGAGGAATGTGCTAGGATGAAAACTCTCAATTACCTTCTTTTTGTGTCTGCTCAGTAAGTCCTACTCCACATACTCCTAACAGAGCCACGAAGTTGCCAATGGGGCTGTACTTTTGCACCTAGGGACAATATGGCACAATGGGCACAGTTTGCCCCATCAGACACTGATATTTGAACACACCATGAGGTGCTGCAACACGTAAGCACGGTGAGGACAAAAGGCGAGGAATGGACATGTACCAGCGGGCGAATTCAAAGGCAGGGAACTTGCAAAAATATAACAGAAAATGTCCTTGAGTTCCCTCAAGGACATTTTCTGTTATATTTTTGCAATAAACCTAACCAAAGCTTGTAATTAAGATAATGATCTAGGGATTATTCCCTTATTTTTTTTTATGTCAGCCCACATTTACATCCTTTTTAGTCTCCCTCCCCATTTGTCACTTCTTTTCAGCTTGCAGACTTGAGTGGCCGAGGCACTGGGTAGCTGAGGTGACTAACCAGGAAGCTGAACTTTGCCGCAGCCAGACGGTGTAAACTGCCCTGTTTTCTCATCAGCATGGCTGCAGCTGCCAGGGGGGAAACAGCCTTTAAAGCTATTCTCCTACCCGAACTGAGCCGTGAGAATAACCAACTGGCCAAAAGCCCAACAGATATCTCCTCCTCACCACTCACTGCAGCGTGCAAACTGCAGCACAGGATTTTTATACATTAAGAGTTCATGACTCCTACTTATGTCAACAGCTTTGACTTTCTCTTGGACATCTGAGAACAACTGTCGAACTGCTGGCACCAAGGTTTATAAATACCAGCCTCAGATCATAAACACTGAATTAAAAGTAATTACTGGCCTAATGAACATCAAACGGGAAAGAATAAAGAGAAGTAGGCAAGAGATAATTTAGCAAATAAGATTAAAAAGGTGCAAGACAAGTGAGTGATGGAATGCAACTGGCAAGCAAAGTGGAGGAAAGCCCACAAAACATGCCAGTGCATTTTAACCTCCCTTTGTGCTGTACCTTGCCCTAACAACCAAGCTTTTCCTTGAACTTAGGGCCATGGGTCCAGAAGGAACTCGTCTGGGTCACTGAATCGAGTCCTCCCTAACACAGGCAGACACATTTAATTAATAAAGCCCAAGCCCTACACCTGAACTGGTTTTCTTGCTACTCCTCTTGAAAGGCAAGATTTGTCCAACAGAGCTATCTGGTGGTTTTGTGAAGTGCGAATGAAGTTAAGGCGAGGCAAGCAAAAGGAAACGAGTCAGAGACT